ACTTAAGATTGAGCCCCTGTAGTCACTTGGACTATTTTAACAATGTCTTTAATGACTTTTAAGGCCAGCAATTGTCATTCCCTCAAGAAGCTATGGACTAGTATGCAGGAATGATCTTAATATCTTAAATATCTTAATTTGTGTTCCGAAGATGAACGAAGGTCTTACGGGGTTGGAATAACATGAGGGTGAGTAAATACTGACAGAAATTTCATTTTTGGGTGAACTAACCCTTTAAGAAGAAATGTAGTTTGGAACATGAATCACTCATAATAAAAACCAGGAAAACGAATTAGAAAGTAAATAGGGTCTAATTAGATTAGGTATCGTTTGATAAAAAGAGAACGGCTGAGCTATAACAGGAACATTTTCACAATTTGAAATGCAAACTAACTAACACAGAATACCTAATAATGAGCTTTTAGTGATAATTTTATGTGGTTAAAAGCTACTTTATTTTACCACATCATTCACAACATAAAGTCCTTTCAGGTAAGTTACCGGTTAGAGGTTTGCTGTAACACTACACACATCTTCGTCTCTTTGACTTTGAGAATAGTTAATGACGTGGGCCTTAGCTGAAACAAGACCATGAGGGTAAAGTTACTCTCTAACAGACAGCAAAGCAGGTCAGCAGTTTGAAGCATGCAAATCCAGTCCACCCTGCACACTTCTGTTGGAAACAAGACATCTCAAACCGACTAAACTCTTGAAACCGATGGTCATGAAGAACCTGTAACATCCATTCCACAAAAGGTTGTAGTGGGAAAAGATTATTTAGATCTTTAGAGCAGAACTATTTACTGAAATGTTTTATGGGGAACCAACAGTGGTTGCAACACAAGGTTTTGATAGTTTTAAGTGTCTACATGATTTATGCGACCACTATATTAAAGAGAAAAACAAAACTTGCATTTAGCGCCTACAAGCTATGAGCCGACAAACCATCATAACACAGTTCAGTCTCAACCCAAACAAGCCTTTAGCTACAGAGGCACTTTAAAAACACACACACAAACTGACACACATATATAATCACACCCTATGATTATATAAAACTTCCATTAAATTACATGTGGTCTAATGGTTTACAATAACCCCGAAAGATGATCTACAGCAGGCGAGAGGTGAGCTGTATTCATATAACCTGATGGCAGTGATGATCACATTTACGGCAGTCACGATGAGAACGTGGATTGTAAACACTAATTGTGTCTATAGAGGATCATGTGGAAATTCAGTATGTGTTGTGTGTTAAGAATGTGGACGTTCTGGTCAAGCGAGTACTTCCACGTACTATGCAGCGCTGATGATGTTGCTTGCCAAACCACAAAACACTGAAAATAGCAACTACTGAAATATTGTATATTATTAGTAACATATACTATTATCGATATATAGTATCAAAATTAAACTAAATCAAAATTAACGTAACCTTTTTGAAAAAGCTAAAGTTAATTAAAAAAAGCTGAAAATTAAGGGGAAATATCTTTTAGAGATAGGATTAAATTAAGGATGTCATTTAGGGCGATATTTAAAAAATATTCTGGCTCTTCCAAACTTTATAATGGAAGTGAATAGAGTTTTTGAAGATCAAAAAAGCGCATCCATCCATCATAAAAGTAATCCATGACTCCAGGGGGGTTAATGACGGCCTTCTGAAGCACAGCTGCGCATTTTTGTACAAAAAATATCCATATTTATAGCTTTGTAATAATCACTGGCCAGCAGAATGTGACAGAGTGGATAAATTTGAAGTCAATGCTTTTGCGTTCTCTTGTTCCCACGAGTTCCTCTGAGAAACGTTGCGTTCTCTCGCAGAATGTTTGGCTTTTGGTGCTCCGTACATTCACACCAAGGACTATAAATATAATAATTAAGAGTTCACACCACAGTTATAACATTAACGGCGCAGAGAAATATCCTTTTCAGAAAGATTTCATCCAGCTGCCAATCAGAATCCATCCTCGAGCATTTAAAGAGACAAAGAAGCACGCGCATAGAATAAACAGACCAAATAATCCTGCTAATATATAGTTATCTGAATGGGCCATAAACATCAATTTACACTGAAAACAACTAATAAAAAAACAATGAAAAACAGACATCTTAAGAAAAATATGAGTTTGCTGTGGCAATGTGGTTGTTACTACACTCTAAAAATGCTGGGATGTTTTAACCCAACTTTGGGTCAAATATGAACAAACTCTAACGATGGGTTAAAAATGTAATAATAAAAATTTAACCCAATGGTTGGGTTAGTCCATATTTGACCCAAAGATGGGTTAAAACAACCCAGCAATTTTTAGACTGTAGGCAGTTGTTCTCTGTGGTTGCTAGGGTGTTGCTAGGACGTCCTGGGTGGTTGATAGGGTGTTGCTAGGCTGTGTTTTGGGTGTTTTTTTTTTTTGCCAGCCACAAAACAACAAGGATTCCAATTAAGATTATAGTATTAAGCTTAAAAATTGATTTTGACGTAATGCAACTAATAAAAAGCAGTTTACTGAAATTTTGTAAACACTAATGAGTGAAGACATTAAAATGAAACATTTTCTGAATGAAACAATTCACTGAACAATTCAACTGAATTGTGTCATGTTACTTGCCATGACTGAAAAGAGTAGTTAGCATCACTACCATTTTTAGTCAGTAAACATTTGACATGTTTGCCTTTTTAAAATACATACTGGAATGCTTTAAACTCACAAAATCTGGTTTGAAAAAAAGAGAAACATAAATTTATTGATTTAGTCTTTGGTAACACTGTTGGAAAAGTTATGCAAGTCACACGCAACAGATTACATGTAAAGATCTGCAGTTATAAAAGTATGTTACACACTCCCCAAAACAGTTGTGTTTCATAGATCACATTTTATAAGATTCAGTTTCATATGTACATACAAAATGCCAACAACACATAAAAAAAGTCACTGGAAGGCACTACCAGGACAGAAAGGTGAGCAAAGAATAATAAATGTTTACAATGAAAAACTAACAATAGAAAGGCCTTGCAAAAACATTTCAAGTCAGAATCGGCATATTGGCTTGTGTAGCAAAAGTTAGCACTTTACCTGTAATCATGTTTAAACATATTAAAATGGAACAGGCTATGGATCATGTTTACATGTAGTGGATATGAACGGTAAAATCTGACCTTGAATCAGCACTGCTTTACAAGCTTTTGTACCTTTACTCTAAATCTCAGGTTTCTCAACCACTTCTTCTCTTTATGAAGGTTAGGATAAGGAAGAGTGAATCTTTTCAAGCTCACCTATTCACAGTATCTCCTACTTGTAGAATAAAAAGTTTATAGATGGAGGTTATCTAAAGATTTGAGTCAAAGATGCATATATTAAGTGACATCAAACGCTGTAGGCTGTTGCAAAGACTTCTACACACTAATTAGCAAAAGTATCAAAAGGTGGAAAAGCTTATCTGTTTTAATAAAATAATAATAATATAAATCATGTTTTCCTTGCAATTAGCTTCTATTGCATCAGAGACCACTGTGAGATGCAGTGAGTCTATACTATAGGCTTCATTGAAGTAATACAGTACTTTATTGTTAAGCAGCTAATTGCAACATTACCCAAAGTGCATTTCAGAGTCTCTAAATGCATGTCTTAAGTGACAAAAGAATCACATTTTAGTAAAAACACACGAACATTTGGAAGACTACACGTGTAACCTCCTGAATGATGCTATCCAAGGGTAATACTTAGTGTCAGACAGAGTGGCTACGTTTAAATCAACACCATCTGCTTTGCCAGCTAAAGTGGCGGATAGAAAAACATCAAGAGTACAAAAATGCCCTATGAAGCCATGGTTCATATACACTAGGTTTTATATACAGCACAAACACTAAAAGTACAATGGTACAAAGTACTAACGCTGCCTCCAAATCATGTAAGAATGATCATATTTACAACATGAGCACCACAACAATGTCATAATCACCAGTCGGGAATCTTTCCTTTAAGCCCAGACTGTCTGAATTAGGGGCATGTGAATTAAAGAAGCAATGAAATAAACTTGGTATTGAATTTGAACTTATATCATATATATATATTTTCATTGATCCTATACGACCTTCTAGGGTCAAATACACAGCAAAATCCCCAGTGTTAAATTAACATTGAGAAGTGTGAATTATATAACTCTGAGCAGAGTGTTAAATGAACACTGAAGCAGTGTAAAAGTTCATTAGATAATTAAGTGAATAATTGAGTGATGATTGAGCATTATTGAAGACACCTGATGATAACAAGCAGAATCTCTGAAGGAGAAAACCGTTTTAAGTTACCATTATGGTGATCAGTGTTTGGTTTAGCTGGGCTCTTGACCCTTAAATCATTAACTTTAGATTATGTTTGGCTGCTGTATGTGATTTACTCTGCTCAGAGTTTCTATAATTCACACTTTAAAGTGTTAATTTAACACTGGGGATTTTGCTGTGTATACACACACATACGTAATATGTGTGTATATACGTGTGGGTGTAATATATACATATATATGTGTATGAATATAAATATTTATCCACACACATACGTATTACATGTATATGTGTGTATATATGTGTGTGTGTGTGTGTATACTTACATTTATATGCATTTACATAGCAGAGGACACATTTTGAGTACGTGTTATCATACTTGGTATACTTTTTTAAAATATATTTGTGTATAAATGTGTGTGTGTATATTAAATGAATAATATACATAAGTTATTTTTTTTTAATGTAAACATGCAATTAATTTACCCTTCATGCTGTTATGCTGTCGTGCTACCACAGCTTCGTGTCTTCAAGAAAGTTGTGCAATTCCCCATTGCATACAGTTTATTATGATCAAAATCACTTCATGTCGAGATTACAATTTATAGGAACTTCCTAGGAGAACTTGAAAGCAGCATTAGTACAAAGCACTTAATTTTCATTTAAAAATACAAATTCACTCAAAACACGCATCTCGCCTTTCACTCCTGGTTGATTTTTTTTTAGTCTTGTGCACAAAATGAGCAACAATCTCACTCCAAGGAAGAATGATCAATCAGGCCCAGCATTAATGAGGCATGTTGTTCTTTAGCTCAAAGCGACTATATACCTGCTTGGATTTGTTCAACTTGTTGTAATGGTTGACAAGGTCCAATTTGCTGTGACCTAACGTCATGCGTTTCTCGTCCCGCCGATGTAACCCTTTCTCAGGGCCAATCCAGTCCGTTGGCATGGGTCCTGGTGGAGGAGGAAATTGATTACTCTCTGGTTCGTTCTGAGAAAGATCTGGCCCGCCAAACGGAGAGGAATGGGAAGGCTTCTTCGGGAAGACGGGAGAGTCCTTATCCTTTGTGCTGAACATATCAGTGAACTTACTGAGGAAAGGCGCGGGGAGTCGGTGTTTTGGGGAAATCCTGTTTTCTGTTGGAGATTGCTGAGTCGGTGATGGAGGCTTTGGAGAGCTGTAGAGACCTAAAGACTGGATTTTGGAAGACGGTCCGGCAATGTTTGCGCGTATGTATTCTGCGGCTCCAGCTTTGGCCCATTCCACTCCAGCGGACTGAACCAAGGGAGGGCGTTCAACCGTCGGAGTTTGGCGGTTGTCGTTAAGAGAACCTCTTCTCGTGTGGCTTGCCGGAGGCATTTGAAGCCCTGAACTCGTGACTCCTTTCCTGTCAGGAGTCTTTTGCAAGTTGTCCGGGTTCTTCTTGTCATGCGTGACTTTGTAAACATGTTGCATACCTGGAGGAGCAGCTTTGATGCTGGAAACGCTACCACTGGATTGGCTACTAGAGTTCTCAGAATACACTCGCTCCTTGCTGCCGTAGTCTGGAAGGAAATCCAACCCAAAGTTTGGGGCCGGCATGTTGTAGGAGTAAGCGGGCAGCTCGTCATCATCTGGATTGTGGAAACGGTCTATTATTTGGGAATCTGCATACATACAGCGGAATTCCCGATCGAAGCAGTCCGTAACTTGGCCGGAGAAGTGCATTAGCATGTTGCTATGGACCTGAGCGGAAAGCCATGTAAAACTAGAGGGGAAAAAGAGCATAACCTGAAATTGTTCTTGGAACAAATGCATATTTTATAGCAAATAAGAGTATAAAACAAACGTCGCACCAACACAAAGGGATTCATTCATGAAACATGAGCTGAACGAATAAGTCCCTGTAAAGGCAATTGTAAACCCATTATAAATGTTAGAAATGTATTGCTAAAACGTATTACAAAGACTGTGAACTGTGGAGTACTGAATTGTGGAGTTAGACTGTTAAACAGTTTTTCACCATTGCTATTTTCCCGGATTTTTTGGGCAGGGCTAAAACAGGGCTCGATGACGCACTGGAGCTCCTGGACACGCCCCTACTTGATAACGCACTGAGGCTGGCTCCTTCCCTAATAATAGAGTAAATTCACATCAGTTTGGCGCTCAATCGCGAGATACTGTCAGTGCTTTTAGTTACTACCATAGACATCATATACCCCTTTTCCACCGAAAAAAGAACTGGTTCGGAACTGGTGCTGGTTCAAAGTTGGTTCGGAGTTGGTTCAACTTGCAAACCCGTTCAGAACCTGTTTGTTTTCCCACTGACTAGAGCGCCCAGGTAACGACGTCGTTACGTCACTGTGCAGGTCGCTAGAAACGCTTGCAAGTATATTGCTTTGGGATTATCTCTAACTCGTGTACCAATAAAACTTTAAAAACAATTCAAATATATAAGTCTTTTAATCTTTTCGTTTGATAAGTAATCTTTTCTGATAAGTTATGTACCCCTGTTTTGTTTCTTTTTTCTTTCCATTTATTTGTTCTACATCGTGACTGTTTTCTTCTTTGCTTATGTTTCAAATAAAATAAATAAATAAAAACTCTTGCGTGTTTCTGCAGTTTCTCCTGGCTTTGCGATGGTCAGAAAATATGTTTAGAACACATCTAAACCCGCTCCAGCCCCCGACGTAAACATGACGTGCTAAAAGAACGGTTCTAGTCCAGCAAAGAGTTGGTGCCGCTTTGGAACCAGTTTTCCCGGCCGCAAACCGGTTCTTTGGCTGTCGAAACACAAAGAACTGGTTCGCGCGCAGGCACCGGTTCCGAACCGGCCTTTCAAAATGCTTTGGTGGAAAAGGGGCTATATAGATATCTATGGTTACTACAGCCAACAGTTTGCTAGCCTTCGACGCGGAAATGCGTAGGCTACTACCAGGATGCGATCATGTACAAAACAGATCGGTGTCTTTATTTAAATTTCTTAAAAACGATCACATCAAGAAGAGGTGGATTAATTTTGTGTAGAGCCAACCTTGATGAAGAGCTGAGGATCACCGCCAACACCCGCTTCTGTAGTGATCATTTTACGCGGGATCGTTTTATAAACGTTATTCACTGATAATCCGCTGTTACTGATGAACGGGGCTGAAACGACTATCTCCTGCCGTCCCGAAGCAGTTTCACATAATATCAGCGTCGGCAGCTTTCCTGCGAGTGGGCGTGGTTTCAGCACAGCAAGTGGACACACCCCCAGCGTTTGAGAACAGAGATAACTGCTCATTTTTTTCAAGATTTTGCTTATTTTATGTATTTGCCGGCTATTTTTATCATTCAAATTTGGCTAGGTGGCTAATAACACATTTTTTTCTGTGGTGTGACAATCTCAGAACACATACTTCATTTTGACTTTAAGATAATAATTTTCGCACTGAATGCTTTTGTAATTCACACAGAAACTTATTCTTTGGATTTCATAAATGAGGTCCAAAGATTCTCTCCAGCCTGCGTGAAAAGGTACAAACTGAATCCTCAATTACAGTTTTATGGATGGTTCAGGTGACTTATGCTAACAAGTGTTTAACAGCGTTCAAGCAAACCATCTGTGGCATTACTCAAATGTCTAACATGATACTAAAATAAAAGAGCATGTGATAAGCATTACATTAGATCATCGCAGTCTTTTCTGGTTTAAAGGTTAAAGAGCACAAAGACAGCATGCATTCAATCTCTGTTAATTACCTCTCAGTTACAAAACCTCTAAATCGCTAGTTTCACAGAACTATGTTTGCAAGCCATTTCCCTTTAAAACTGTATGCACTTCTATTCAAACAAAACTCCCTGTTGGCTATTATATGGGTAAAGCCTTTAACACGAGTGTGGCCTCACCCACTATTCACACGCAGAGTCATAGACAGGCCGCTATCAGTCGCACTAACCCTGACATAACAAGACAAACTCATTCCTCCAAATAATCCCGAGGAGCAGATTAGCCATTTAGACAATCCATGCAAGACTGAGATCGCTTGTTGGGTCTCATCTCCCAACATGTTGCCTTTGTAATCCATTAGTTTCACTATATTAAAAAAAAAAAAAAAAAAAAAAATCCACCAAATCAGCCACTGAGGCTTGGAAGCCGTTGGCTAATGCCAATGCTAACACTGTGCCGGAGAAATGCAGAATCATCATGTTTTCATTGCTAAGCTGCTCAAGCACATGAGGTGCACGTCCTGTCATCTCCCTGCCAAAATGCCGCCATGCGCTTAAATGCTTTGCATAATACAGAGTGATATGACAGAAATGAGATAAGCCTGGACTGATGGGTATTTCAACGTGAATAATTCAATGCAACTGGGAAAAATTTCGAGTTGCTTCTCGCATAGTTGGCTTTCAAAACTCGTGCTGTGACATGTTGTACCTGCTAACCTGAATGCTAGTGTATGACATGTGCTCAACTTTTATCAAATCATTAATACAGCCCTTTATAGATTATGTGGTATTATTTTACCACTGTCATCAAAGAAACATGATTCTTAAAGTGCCATAATTTAAGGGATTTCATTAAATTAATAAGACTTACAGTAGTAAATATCACTGTAGCAATTATGACATTTGGTTAAAATTATGATTATATAATGCCTTTTTTAAGAACTATATTACACAATGCTTGGATAAACATACCTATAGGATCCAGCTATGACTTCCTCACAGTCAATGATCATGAATTTCTCTTGAACCTGACCTGTGAATTTCTTCCCACTTTTGGTGCAGTACGTGTCTCCACATACACTTCTTATTCGCATATTCTGAAAAAAAAAAAGCAGCATTACATAAATGTTAAATAATCAGTTGATTAAAAAACATAGGTATATTTTACATACAATTTGAGTTCTGGTTCGCCTGCACTGCCGTTCAAAAGCTTGGGAGTGGAAATATTTTTACGTTTTTTTTTTTTTTTAACCAAGGTTGCATTTATTGGACCAAAAATATTGTAAAAACAATAATATTGTGGAACATTATTAATAATCTTTTAATATTGTCAATGTTGAAAACTGTTTTTTTTTTCTGGATTCTTTGATGAATAGAAAGACAGAACAGAACAGAATTTAACTGAAATAGAAAGCTTTTTCAACATTATACACTACAATTCAAATGTTTGGGGTCACTAAGATTCTCTTTAAAAATAATAAATTAATACTTTTTTAGCAAGAATGGAATAAATTGATCAAAAGTGGCAGTAAAGACATTTATAATGTTACAAAAGCTTTCTATTTCAAATAAATGCTGTTCTTTTGACCTTTCTATTTATCAAAGAAACTGTTTTCAACATTGACAATAATTAGAAATGTTTCTTGAGCAGCAAATCATCATATTATGATTATTTCTGAAGGATCATGTGACACTGAAGACTGGATTAATGATGCTGAAAATTCAGTTTTGATCACAGGAATAAATAATATTTTACAATATATTCAGTAATAAAAAACAGTTATTTTAAATTGTAATATTTCACAATATTCCGTTTGAACAGCCTAGTGTATATTAATACAAATAATAAATTAATAATGTTGAATAAAAGTTTTGTTTTGAAACAACAAAATATTTAGCTTTTTTTTAAAGTCCTAATGGACTTAAGGCAACTTACATAAGACTTATGTTATTCTGTTGACTGACAGATGTATTCATAAAACCGAGAACACCCATCTCATAGAAAACGTATTATGTGCAGGGATGAACTCATGAGCTTGGACACACAAAATAGATTTTCTATAAGCGCGTCAGTGTTTGACTTACACTCAAGTTTGAATTCTGGATGTCTAGTTCAGAGCACATGCTCAAGAAATGGGAGATATTCTTCTCGTCCAGTAGAACATAAACAGGAACCTTGCGCTTGTTGGAGGCCTCCACTAAATCGCAGAACAGGTCCACGTCTGTAAAAATATCCATGACTACTGCGATGACCTATGTTGCAAAGAAAAGTTGTTAGGACATGCATTACAATAAACCACATCCACCCATCTTAAAAATTGTTATCACAAAAAACACATCAAAATTAGTGATGTACATTTAACGATCAAGCAATTTACAACTTTAGTTACTCATAATGTTTAATGTAACAATTTTTATGCAATCACAAATTCTCCAGTAGTTACATCCCCTAAATTCACAAACAATGCCATTCAAAACATTTGGACATTTAAAGAGATAGTACACCCATAAATTAAAATTGTCATCATTTACTCACCCTCATGTTGTTGCAAACCTGTATGAGCTTCGTCCAGTTGAACACAAAAGAAGACATTTTGAATAATGTTGGTAACCAGACAGTTGTTGACTTCCATAGTATTTGTTTTCCTACTGTGCAAGTCAATGGCAACCGTCAACTGTTTAATTATACCAACATTCTTCAAAAATATCTTCTTTTGTGTTCAACAGAAGAAACAAAACTCATACCGGTTTGGAACAACATAAGGGTGAGTAAATGATGACATAACTTTAATTTTTGGGTGAACTATGGCTTTAAGTCACACTAAAACATGTCTGAATCATGTTGCCTCCATTATGTAATGAAACCATCAAAATAAATTACACATTTTCTCTCTGAATAAACTTTCATGAGGCATGTTTTTAACGACTTTTCATTTGACTGCAGTTAAAGTTATTTTATGAAGTGCATTTGTGAAATATTTTGTTTGGAATGTCTGCTTGTAAAACCGATAACATACATGTTTGTTTAAGTGTAGCAAACAGACTTTTTGGGGGTCAGAGTCAGTCAAATAAATTATTATCATCCACACATTATTCCTTTTATGAATTATTCCTATTATCATCTACATAATTATCTATGTAAAAGTTGAACAAATTCCAAATGAAAACTATCTGAAAGTTGATTTAAAAAGTCATGTTTACGTGTGACGTCACTTTGAAAATGCAAGTTTCATGGAAAACATAAAGCACAAGGAAGGAAATGGCGTTAGAACAATGTCTTGTACCTTTTCTATGGGTATACGTTGGTTTATGTTGCTCTTACCTTCTTGGCTTTACTAATAAGTGATCGAATGAGATCTTTGACATTTTGCGACTTGTCCCTCTGAAAGTATATCTTCGCTTCAGTGGGTCCACATCGGGTGGAAAGCTCTGGCCAGCCCAGCTCCAACATTGGAGGCTCCTCGTCGGACATCATGGGGAAATAAGTCCCTGAAGTGAGCTCAGACACCGTGTCCCCTTCCTCCATGTCCACTCCATTAGTCCCGCTGTCCGCGTCGTTACTTTTATCCACATTTTCGGTGATATAACGTATTTCCAGCGAGGACAGAAAACTTAGTTCTCTTTCGTCCTGCAAGACTTTTTTATACGCCTTCTCGCCTTGTTCCAACAGCGCGTCGGTGGCGAGCCGCGCGGCTTCGTTGTGGCTGAGCTCGAGTGTTGATCCGTGTCTCCAGGGGTTCTTCACATCCTCCACTCTGGTGGCGAGCTTGCCTTTACGCGCAGGGTTCGAGGTCGGACGCAAAGCCTCGGAACTCATCATTTCCACGACTTATGTTTCTCCAAGTTAACTGGGGTTCACAAAAGTTCAAGCAAGCATTCGGTTACTAAAACTGGTGTAGTCCAAAGCTGACCTTGTTTTATGTCATGGTAGTTGGAGTGCGTTATTCCCAGAGGTCTCTCCGCTTATTGTTGTGAGCTACTGAGAAACTCAACGCTGCGCTCCACCTGCGCGCTCACCTGCGGCTGCCCCGTCCAATCAGATGCTCCACCTCCTCTGACGTCATGTGGAAAGAAAACTATGGCAGGCCGTTTCAACTAAAGGCAAAATGTGCTTTTCACTACTGCCATATTATATGATTGCAGCGAAAAAAATGTTTGTTTTGAACATTGATGGAGCAACATTTTGTGCGAAAATAAATCATAAAAGTGGTTTATTTCGTTTAAAAATAATGCATGAGGTGGGCCCTTTACCCCACACACACAGGTAAAACCAGTAGAAAATGGTAGGCTACACATTATTTATACAAACACTTCAGGTTAAATAATATGTTTAACATATAGTATGTTATACTAAATATACTGTCATTAAAATATGGTAAAATAAAATATATTTTAAAAATACAGAGGAACAAATAGGCCTATTCTGAAAGCATTGAAGCAGATCCCATGCTAAATTAATAGTTTACAGTAGTAACAATGCATGATATTTTATTATATGATATGATTAATATTTTTAAATATGATGGTTAAATATAAATGTGGAGATTATTCTGTATCTAGGTTGTCACCTAACTTGATATTATATTTACCTTCTGAATCTAACCATGTCATGTCGATAGTGGAGAAGTCAGCCGGCTCAGTCCCCAACAGCGGATGAGCCTTTTACCTCAAAAACTTTTCCTATATTGAAAAACTGTTGCTTTAATTACTTTAAAACCCATTTGCAGATAAATATGAAAATATCACAGAAGCCATGTCTCATGGATTAAACATAATAAATAGTTATTTGTAAAGAAAAATGTTCAAATGGCTTGCCACAAGAAAACAAGCGATACACAACCTATTGTACTCAACTTGGCGCTCATCATACTGTGGGCAGAATAAAATGTCTGTAGATTTATTACTGTATATCCACACACTGACGGAAGACGGAATAACAGCATACTAATTGCCTTAGCAAAAAGACTCAATATACAAGATAAGGGCCTTTAGATTTGATTAGATTTAATTTCAAAACACCAAATAGTGACAGACACCACCACAGCACTTTTTCATTAGCAAAAACCAAAACTGAAACCTCAAATCTATTTGACAGAACGGCAATACAAATGTCCGGCAATACAAATGTTATTTTTGACAAACTTAATATTTAAATGTGAATTGCATTATTTTAGTAGGCCTAATTGACTGCTTGATATTTAATTGACACTTGACTCTGGTTAGAGTTCTTTAATCAACAGTTTGGGGCGAAAACAGCATCGTGTGATCTCCCTGATATGGCGGTTATGCATGTCTGCATCATTTGAATGGTAAATATTGAGGATGTAACTTGTATGATTCATTTACATGAGTGCATGAGAGCAGACATACTTGAACGGCAGGTCTTTGCAGGCTCCTGACTAGCTGTCTTAAGCAAATGTGCAACCTTTATGAGTGCAAACACTGGACACACTAGTACACATGTTGCATTAAAACACCTTCTAAATGACACCGGTTGTTGTCTTTTGTGTCCATTGTCCAGCGAGATATTTTTGGGTCTTCCTGTCTTTCTAAGTATAGCCACCCTGAGGCTCGCCCGCCCACATGAATCATAACTTTTCCATGACATATAAAAGGGAAACAGACACAAGCCAGCATTTCCTTTGTTAAAAATACTGAATAATTTATTTAAACTCTCAGATGAAGCTGTTTTAATATCATACAAAACATAGACAACTTTATAGATTATAAAAATACATCTCAGATGCTTGCACATCGAAAAGTACGGAGAAGCTGTGCATATGAAACTGAATAATCTGCAGTTGTTTAATGAAGAAATCATTTCTGACTGTTGCTGTCATATCATGAGATGTCTCTTAGCACATTGTGGACACACCGCATGGCACAATCTTTGTCATGAGTCACATGGATTTCAAATAATGGGTTGACTATAATGTGCGACAGTACACTGGACTATCTGTCCATGCTTTGATGATGATGAAGGGCAACATTTGAATTTTTGCTCATGAATACAAGAGAAGTGTTCAACCAGGAAAATATTGCCCTTTTGTGAGCTCAACACAGAGATATACAATTAGATTAAAAGTGAGTTTTTCAAACCTAAAATATTACAAATTATTTTATCAAAATAACAATTTGAGTGATATATTTGAATTTTTATTTTTTTATTTTGAAACAAATTACTAAATTTATTCAGCGAGGATTCTTTAAATTGATCAAAAAAGACTGTGAAGACATTTAGTAACGGTTTGTTGTCGTAGAACACACATGAAATAGGAATAAAGTCGACTTTAATCATGAATGCAGGAGATAAACCCATTACAAAAAGACATTAACTGACAGAGGACTGAGCTGAATAGGGAATATGGTATATTACAATGAGCTAAAGAAAACACAGCTGATTATAATTAACCATAGAGAACAGGGACATGATCAGAAACCGAAGCAGGAAAACAACAACTGAAGGAAACAAAATAAGAGTCCAAGACCATAGAATGTTACAATAGATTTCTGTTTCAAATAAAGGCTGTTCTTTTGAACTTTCTATTCACCAACAAATTCTGAAGAAATATTTCATTGTTTCCATTAAAATATGAACATTGATAAGCAGCAAATAATCCTATTGGAATGATTTCTGAATGCTGACACTGAAGACCGGAGCAATGATGCTGAATATTCAGCTTTGATCACATAAAGTACATTAGTTCATACTCTATATTGGGCCAAAATCCCACTATTATGCATTATATGCACCATACTGTATTTTCTTTGTTTTAAAATGTCCAAAATCCCCCAAACTCTGTTTATTTCCTATTTTAAATGGAATTGTACATCTTTAAACGGTCCCACTGGACATAACACCCCACAAAATCTATCTTTTTGTTTTTTCATCACATCAACAAAGTTGAAATCCGCTGACTGCAATTGCAAAAAGAAGATCTTCTTGGTTTGGCCTGCGGGTCCATGAAACCAGACCCTGACTGGTTTGTGCTCTGGTTTGGAACATGTTCAGTGAAAATGCCAAAATGACAAGGTATGTTTCTCAGAAATTCAACAGAAATACCAACACATGCATGAGAGCAATCTCATTATATAAGCATATAATTTTTGGCATACCTGACAGCGCTTATCAGTGTCAATTCATTAACAGCCATATACACTCCCCTAAAGGATTATTAGGAACACCTGTTTAATTTCTCATTAATACAAACCAAATCAACCAATCACATGGCAGTTGCTTCAATGTATTTAGGGGTGTGGTTCTGGTCGAGTCAATCTCCTGAACTTCAAACTGAATGTCAGAATGGGAAAGAAAGGTGATATAAGCAATTTTGAGCGTGGCATTGTTGTTGGTGTCTGAGTATTTCACAATCTGCTCAGTTACTGGGATTTTCACACACAACCATTTCTAGGGTTTACAAAGAATGGTGTGAAAGGGGAAAAACATCCAGTATGCGGCAGTCCTGTGGGTGAAAATGCCTTGTTGATGCTAGAGGTCAGAGGAGAATGGGCCGACTGATTCAAGCTGATAGAAGAGCAACTTTGACTGAAATAACCACTCGTTACAACCGAGGTATGCAGCAAAGCATTTGTGAAGACACAACACACACAACCTTGAGGCGGATGGGCTACAACAGCAGAAGACCCCACAGGGTACCACTCATCTCCACTACAAATAAGAAAAAGAGGCTACAATTAGCAAGAGCTCACCAAAATTGGACAGTTGAAGACTGGAAAAATGTTTGATGAGTCCTGATTTCTGTTGAGACATTCAGATGGTAGAGTCAGAATTTGGCGTAAACAGAATAAGAACATGGACCCATCATGCCTTGTTCCCACTGTGCAGGCTGGTGGTGGTGGTGTAATGGTGTGGTTTTCTTGGCACACTTTAGGCCCCTTAGTGCCAATTGGGCATCGTTTAAATGCCACGGCCTACCTGAGCATTGTTTCTGACCATGTCCATCCCTTTATGGCCACCATGTATCAATCCTCTGATGGCTACTTCCAGCAGGATAACGCACCATGTCACAAAGCTCGAATCATTTCAAATTGGTTTCTTGGATATGACAATGAGTTGACTGTACTAAAATGGCCCCCACAGTCACCAGATCTCAACCCAATAGAGCATCTTTGGGATGTGGTGGAACGGGAGCTTCATCCCACAAATCTCCATCAACTGCAAGATGCTATCCTATCAATATGGGCCAACATTTCTAAAGAATGCTTTCAGCACCTTGTTGAATCAATGCCACGTAGAATTACGGCAGTTCTGAAGGTGAAAGGGGGTCAAACACAGTATTAATATGGTGTTCCTAATAATCCTTTAGGTGAGTGTATATCTCCAGTGTTAACAATAAACAATGAAATCTCTTTTATCACTCACACTATCATGAAACATGAGTGCATTATATGTTAATAGGTACCACAATAACCGCATCATCTCTTGAGAACAGACAAAGCCGGTTTGTTCAGAGGCTCATGCCGATTACACAGGATAAAAGCTTCAACTGTGTCAACAGGAAAATTGACACTGTGGATCTCCAGAGAGTTTTCATTACACTCCACAGGAGCCTGCAGTGAACTGTAGGCTTAAACATACCATTTGAATTTGATCACGCATTAGTAGCTATAATTGTTCTAATAAAAACACTATTAACCACCCTGAACACCATTGCAAACACAGCAACAACCCAGAACATTGTTACTTGAACATTTCACAGGCAAACACAACCCCACCCCCTCCTCCCAACTTGTACAAATCTTGTTTTCTATCATCACAGTTATCATTTTTCTGTCTGCATTTTTGTAAGGGAAGTGGTGAAGACACTGGAATTAAAATAGGAACTAATAATTCTCGTCTTGGTTCACCACCTATATAATATTGGTTAAATAACACATTTACATTCAATCTGCTGCAGATATTTTTGTGTTCAAGGAATTTGACTTAATCAATCATGACGGATGATCACACGTGTCATTGTTGATATTGAAATCTTAACGGCAGAAAACAGCCTTCAGCGA